CTTTCCCTGTGTGAATGTATTCTTTAAACAGATTAAGATTGCATGACCTCTGGATTTGTGCCATAACGTAACTGATCAACTTTCAGAGCGGACAAGATTATGGGGACAAATGATTGCAGTGTGGGCATAATATTTACCGTCAAACAAGGATACAATGCTGAGGGCCAATGCCACTGTGATACATCTGGGTAGAATGGACACAGTTAAAGATGGTTCTAATTGAACAAGACGTCCAACAAGGGCAGTTGAGTACAGTGAAAATATTGTTGAGATGATGACAGAGGTGAAAATCTCAGCTGCGTGTCTCTTGACAAGCTGAAAATGATAGAAAATTCAATACTTAATGATATAATGGTTGGGATGCAAAACAAAATTGTTGCAAACCATGACTTGTATTTGGGTAGATATCATGTTAATGACTGCCAAGTGGAACATCAGATGTGTATATGGAAATGATATGTTCATAGCTCTATGTTCTTCAAGTTTGAATTCACACACATTCACGTAAAATCAAACTCCATAAAGGCCAATGACTATTCCATTCACCTTTCACAGGTCTTCACTAATTTAGCAAGAAACTAAAGAAAACAACAGATAAAAAGATATGCTTCTAGTATAACAGTTAAATTACCTATCAAGATTAAAAAAATAAAATAAAATAAACAGAATAAAGCTTGCATCAATAAATCTTTGGTACAATTTTCAGCTCAATGAAAGGTAACTATATCGTCCTGAAACTACCAAAACCCTCTTCATTAGCCCATCCCTGGTGACTTAGCTTTATGGAAATAAGATATTACAATATTGTTATTATGTGCTTGCACTCAAGTTTTACGAATGCTAGCCAAATTATTCGAAAGGAAGCTATTGTCTGCAATCCACACTCTTAATTTTGAGGAGGCTGGCAAGGTTTAATGTGTGGAGAGAAAAAAATATTGACATGAAGTACTGGCATACTCACTTATTGAACTGCTACTGTACATTATTAGCTACTCGGTACTCAACATATTAAACATTACCCGGATATAAGTTTGACTGCAACTCGTCTAACATTGTAAAATATCAAAAGCAATAGCCAGTAATGCAAATACACTGTTCATTTGCTTAATTTTTTTACAGCAGTATATGATTTATTTAATGGGAGACTTAGATGGTTACCTTTCTTTGCTTGAACATAGAGAAGGAAAATGAGAGAATAACAGATCCCAAAAATCCCATTAAAATATCACCAGCTCCAGGATTAGAGGATGCCTTTGTCAGGTAATATCCTATGAATGTAGAAAGAATAATCAACAAAAACAAGTCTAGATGTAATATGCTGAAATGGAATTAAAAGAAAAATTGCATGAGAGGGTACTAGAGAAAAGAACCATATTGTGCATGTCAGAGCAAAAGAAAAAATTATTTGAATCAAATGCAAGGTGTACTCTCCACGTAACTGGACAGCTAAAACATTATAATCCCTAATTATGCTTTAACTAAGATAATTCCCTATTGAGTAGAAAAGATCTTTTTGTCTGCTAATGGTTTCAGGCTTTCAGCTACATCCGAGAAGCACCATGAAAACGAATTGTATCATGATAGGGATGTATTACATGTGGGAGCTATGAGCCTATGATCAATAGCAGATAAATAAGGGAAGAGCAGAACTCTCTCCTAGATGAGTAAATAGCCAAAGCAACAATTAGTTTGGTTAAGAGAAAAAACAAGCCATAAGGGAAGAAGGATTTTAGATAATAAATCCCTCCAAGGAAAAGCTTGCCTAGGAGTAAGCAAACATAGAACTTATGGTATATTAAGAATGTCAATCAAACAAAGGTAGGATTAATAGAAGTTTATAATTATGATTAGTTCAGGAAATTTTGCGTGAAAGAATTATGACATGAATCCATGAGTTAGGAGTAATGACCTATAAATGAATCTGTAGCTTTCAGAGCCAAAGTACAAATTGGTGTTGCTTTAGAACAAGGCATATTGAAGAATATCTTTACACCAAAAATGATCTGATCACATCCCCCTTAATTTGTGTGGCTAATCATAACAGGTTCTTTTTGCATTCATGCAGGAATAGGATTGTTGCACATATCGTCCTAGGTTCTATGCTTTGACCTACATTATTCTATTTCCTCTAAAAGTCATTTCCATTAGATCTATATCTATTACATATACCATGTTGACTAGGGTGATCCAAGCACTCCAATAATATGATATCTTAAAATGGACCTTAATATAAAATGAAATGTTCCTCATCCCATATTCACACATAATAATAAAAGAATTATAGAAATTTTGTGTCATTACATAGTATATTGTGATAAATTCCCATATCACTCTCTGGCTACATTAAACAGAGAGCCCTTTAGTGACAACTTTATTATAATTATCAAACCAAATCAGTTGAGCTTATCAGAAGATTACCTTAATCTAGCAGAAAGTCATTTGACACCTCATTGTCCTAGTAAAAGGTTTTACAAACCTGATTTGAACAGTGAACTGTTCACTGTTCACTGCTCATTACTCAACATGCCAGTAGACTTCAAATGCTTAATCATAAATCATAAGCTATGCACACCATACAGCCAAAATAAGTTTCAAACTTGTAATTTAAAGCTTAAATTCCTTATCGTAGTTGAAGTTAACAATCAAATTCACAGAAACTTAGATAATATAATAATTAAATAGTTATCTACTTATCTTCTAGTCATACCTAGAACAGGTTCAAGCCCTGACTTGGAAAGATACCCAAAAGCTAATGCTGTCAGATCTGCTGATAATGCACAGCAAATTATAGGATGGAAGACCTTCTTCACATTTGATGGCAACCTGGAAAACAAAAAAAAATAGCAAGAATTATTGAATTTATAGTAAATATAAAAATTGCAAAACGATACTAGTTTCTAATAAAATTTTAATAATAGCATTAGAATGAGATATAAGAATACTTTCGTTTTTTAAATGTTTTTCATCAGAAAACCCATACTAGGGAATAAGCAATTGTCAAAGTGTATATGTGGCAGTGAAAAGGAAAATATTTACCCAGTGCCAACAATATAGCCTAACACTGTTGCAGCAAGCAAAAATGGAAGGCACGTTCTGGCACTTGTACCCAGTGCTGTAGGGTAAAATAATGCAGAAACAAATGATGTAAGGAGAACAGCAGTCCATGTCCACACTTCAATGGCAGAAAACGGAGCAGGCTTTCCCATAGGCTCAGCTTCTACCAATTCTGTTTTCACAGCTTTTCTTACTGCTATAGCCGTGAAACCAGCAACACAAAGTGTAGCTAGCCATCCTCCAACTGAACAGCAATAAAAATTTCAGCAATTTTTAACATGCACCAACATGGGCTCATTATAAAACAAAAAACAAAAACAAAAAAAAAAAACGCAGATTTTTAGAACGAAAGGTGGATATTGGCAGATTTGTCACTTGAGAATTTAAAATGTCACACCAAGTTAATAAAAAAAATGCTTAGACTATCTAATAATGAGCCCTAAAAAATCAAAATAGTCCCTAAAATATACAGGTCACTGTATTAGTCCCTAAATATGAACATTACTAATTAAATGGTGCACTTCATCAGTCAATTAAATGCTTCCTAGGTCAAATCAGTCCGCAAATTCCAACACGGGGACTAATTTAACCATACTATATTATTGACATCTTACTAATCATCACATTAACACATGTCAATAATTAGCGACTAATTTAACTACATACTCAAGAACAAAACCTAGATACATTTATTGTAGAGAGAAGCATGAACCTAAAATAAGGCCAATTTTGAGGCCAGAGGCAGCGGGAACGTCTTTAACGGCGAGGGGCAAGACAACCAAAGAGGGAACATAGAAGAGAGGGAGCCATCTCTGTATGAACATAAACGCCGGCTCGAAGAACCCCATCACCGCCGTAGCCGCAGCGGGCACGGTGGCGTCAAGAATAACCAGAACCGAGAAAATGCAGAACATCCCAAACAACGCGCTCGGGAACTTAATAGCAGCGGCCACAAACGCTTTCTTCAGAAACTTATCCACCGCCAGAATGAGGCCCAGAGACACGGCCAAGTGGAGCGCCCCAAACACCTGAAAAACACAGACCCGCTCAATCAAACGTGCCCAATGAGAACGCGACACGTGGAAGGAGAGAGTGAGTTAGACTCACGGTTTGGCCGAGCGAGGTGGGAGTGGAAGCGCTTCCTGTGTCGGCTTCGGAGGATTTTGCTGCCACGTGTCTGCTTTTGCGGGCTCCGTTAAGTGGGAACGTGGGACTGAAGGTGGTGGACGAAACGGTGCGTTTTGGGGAGGCATTGAAAGTGGACTTGGGAACGAACGTGCGGCGGAAGTGTGATTTGGGGAGAGAGGGTGGCTTGAGTTTGAGAAGTGGAAAGGGTAGGGAGTGCGCTGTGGTCGCCATGGAGAGTGCTGCGACTTCCACGAGAGAGACAGAGTGTGTGTGTGTGTGTGTTCACATTTTTGTGGGACCAGAGAGAGACATTGTATGGATAAGAAGAATGATGATGGGATCAGACACGAGTGTACATAAGTTTCTGTGTATTTTTCTCTTTTTAAAAAAGAAAAAATCGTTAGAATTTTAATTTCAACAGGAAATGATTATTATCCCATACATAAGTGATGAACAGATCTTACCAGGTTACATTACTTTACAATTAACGACTTCATATTGAGTTGGATGAATAAGCTTTTCGATAAATACTTAATAAATAAATGAATAAATTATTTTTATGAATTAAAATCAATTTATGTACTTAATTTTTATAGAAATTCTTTAATTTAATTTTATCAAAACTATAATATATAAGTTGATTTTAGTTTATCCAAGAAGTTCAATTCATTTTTTTTTTTCTTTTCTTATAAGTGTTTGCATATAAATTTACCCAAGCAAAGTCACTATATATTTGTCTCAAGTTGATTTTCTTACTTTCTAATAATTAGATTTTGTTGTATCAATGAGGTGTAGTGTAGCTTAATGGATTAAATGGAGCGTAACTTAATAGATCGAACTGTGTATGAATATCGTAAACTTTGATACCAAAGTAGATTATCATGAATAATTATAAAAATAAAAAAAAATTGTTGGATCATGAATGCTTTTCTCTTAAATAGTTATGCATGCTCAATAATGATTTTTGGGTTAGACATGCATTCAGTGGATGTGGATTAGAAGAAGAATCACAAGCCTGGTAAAGAAAAAATATTTTAAAACTAGATAAAAAGCCAACTCAACTTCATTTTATTCAAACATATTTTGTTTCCAAAATTGTCTTTTAAAACAAAAATCAGAAAACCCAACAACTCTAAACGGACATAAGATAACAACTTAACAAGGGCACCAATACATTCTGGGAAATGTAAAGTTAAAAAGTTAATAGGAGTAAAGCTATGGGTATGTTAGGGTCTCTCGAAAAGGCTTTCACTTTTCCAGAACTCGCTCGAAAAAGGAATCAAGAAGAGTACTTGCCATAAACGAAGAGTAAGGGGGACCATAGGAATGTGCATAGTCGAGGGGAGATCGAAGGTTAGAGAATAGAAAGGGGTTACTAGAGATTTCCTGGACATTACAACAGGGTAGTTACTAAGGTGGTTACTAAGCTAGCAAGTCGAAGAAATAAAAATCACGTGGGTTGAACGGTTACGAGAAGTTGTGTTTAAGCCACGTAATTGGCGTAGTGAATAGCGGTTATGCACCCATGATGGACCTGTACAAAATGAACCGTTCTCGACTGGCTCTATAAATATGAGAAGCATAGTGCTTCACAGAGGTCGAAAAAATCATACTTGCACTAGCAAGCACTCACCGCCTGCACATATGGCTCTCGTGCATGGAATTTCTGGGTATGACAACTTCTTGCCCACATTTTATTTCTTTTTCTAGGATTAGTGTAGTTTCGTTTCAATTTTGTAGTTCGTAGTTCGTTTAATTCTGATATTGTAACCTGATAATTATGCGAAGTGGCAATGATTTGTATTGCTAATATATGTATTGTTCATTCCATTTATTTGAGTATTTACATGCATGATAATTATGCTTAATAATCATTAATGAAAGTCTGGAAACGAAGGCTTATTAGCCACTCTGTTTTTAAGAAAGTTTTAATTATAAAATACCTAAATTGAAATCATTTCGTGCTAGTTCAAATAAAAAGAACTCACAAACAAATTCCACCACAAACAAATTGGCACGCCCGCTGGGACGCGTTTAATTGAAAACATAATTGAACTAGTTTTAGGTATGTTTTATGAGACTTAGGAGTGGAAGAACCATGTCTACATCTAGAGAGGTAAATAACGATGTTCCAGTAGATATAGAAAATAGAAGTTCAAATCCTAATGTGAAAAATGTCACTATTTTGATAAGGGGGCAACGCCACCACCTATAGTACCTGAGAATGTGGCTAGACAAGTAAACATGTCTTAAGAAGTTTTGAATGCCACTCGAGAATACCCATGGGGTATGCCTCCAAATTGGCAAACCACTCAACCTATACATGTCGAGATTCCATTACCTTATTTAGGGAAAAATCCACAAATGCATGTGTCCCCACAAGGATATAATCCTGGACCGAATGGGATGGGGTTTATCATGCAAGATCCTTATCAACATGTAGGGACGAGTCATGAGGGATCTTTGGTTCGACAAAGTAACTATGTCCCCACTAGTATAAGTAATCAAGCTATGATAGCCCTTCGACAACAAATGGACCATAGTAATCATGACATGGTTAATTTATTGTCGACTCAGATGCATACTATTCTCATCCCTTTATATGAGTTGATAAATAAACTAGGAGATAAAGTGGGAGATAATAAACCGTCGAGAGCCATGAGTGCGAACTTGAACGAAATGGAGAATCAAGTTGGGAATGATGGCTTCCCTCAAAATTTAGGTAGACCTCATAGGAATCTCGAGGAAAATTTAGATCAAGTCGTAGAAAGGGTACTAAACAGACATGATTTCGAGGTAGGTCGAAATGAACGTCCCTATTTTGTGTCTGCTTTTCTAGAATACGTAACTCAAGTAGAATTGCCTAGGGGAGAAAATCCCAAAAATTTTTAAATTTGCGGGAGAATTAAATGAGTCCACAGTCGAACATATTGTAAGATACTTAGTTGAATGTGGAGATTTAGGGAATAATGAATATTTGAAAATGAAATATTTCCCAAGTTCTTTGACTAAGCATGCTTTTACCTGGTTTACGACTTTAACCCCTAATTCGATTAATACTTGGGCTCAGTTGGAAGGAAATTTTCATGAACACTTTTTTCGAGAAGAAATAAAAGTGAGTATAGTCGATCTAATGAATATAAAAAGACAAAATCATGAAACGTTAGACGACTATTTGAATAGGTTCAGGAAGTTGAAATCTCGATGCTATACGAATATCCCTGAACATGAATTGGTTAAAATTGCAGCTATAGGGTTAGACTTTTCGATTCGAAAAAAATTAGTAAACAAACAGTTAAGAGATATGGCCCAGTTAGTAGAAAAAATACGAAGAATCGAGAAAATTAAGTTAGAAAAAGAAAAATTAAGGAAGTTCGATAGGTTTGTTCAAAAAGAAAAAGTCGCTTATATAGAAAATGCGAAGATCAATGAGGATGCTAATTGTGAGGGTTTGAGTGAGGATTTTGAAGTTAACATAGCCGAATTACGTCCTGGTCCTACATATCAATGCCAAATGTTAAAACCAGGAGATAATGTGGAAGGGAGTACAACTAGGCAATATAGTTTTGATGTAACTAAGGCTGATAAAATATTTGATATTTTGTTAAAAGATAAACAGATTGCACTCCCAAAAGACCATAAAATTCCTCCATTCGAACAAAGAAAAGGGAAGAGATTCTGTAAGTATCATAACATGTATGGTCATTGGACTAATAATTGTGTACGTTTCAGGGATATGATTGAGAAGGCGATTACTGAGGGTCGTTTGGCTTTCGAGGAAAAGGATATGAAAATGGATATTGATCCATTTGCAGCTCATACTGGGTATGTAGAACCAGTCTCGATGGGGATCAACATGGTCAAGGTGAATATTGATGAAGATGAAAACGTTGAACCTATCTCGGATGAAAAGTTGGAGGAATTGTTGGACAATTTCGCTAAAAATGAAGAACCAATTTATCTAAAAGAGGGGGATAGTCTGATCGAGTTTCTTTCTAAGAAAAAGAATGCTGACAGAGAAGTCATGTTTTGCCCTCGATGCATCGTAGTGTTCGATAGAGCTGCTGCTAAAGCCTTCGAGGAATCAAAGTTAATGAAAAACTATAAAGCTGAGAAGCTTCGAGAAAGGGCAAAACCTAATACTGGATTGATGATGAGACAGATACACATGTCTCAGTATAATACTCCAATGGGAAAATGGAGATACATAACGCATCGAAATTTGGCAGTACTTTCGTGCCAAATGCTAATGTCGTAGTAGGAAAGTGGAATGCTCCACAGAGGCAAATGGCTAGAATGAGTCGAGGGAAACAAGTCATGAATTATGATGGGCCCACATTTCAAGGAGTTCCTGGGAAATTTTTTAATATGCCTGGAAATTATGGGCGTGGATTTAGACAACAGGCTTTTAATAATCTGACTAAGACCCAATGGAGAAGAGAGCAAAGAATGAGGAAGGCTACCTTCGAGGGTTTTAGAGGAAACCGTTTCTCGATCCTGGTACCTTAGAAAGGTGAGTCATCTCGAAAGTTCATGGAGGATGATGAAGATATGATAACTGACTGCTTCAAGAGTGGGTTTGAGGATTCTTTGGAAGATATTTGTGGTATAGTGTCGATTTTACCTTCTAAATATGTTGGGGCCATGGAATCCGTAAATGAGCATGAAGATATCCACAGGGAGGATTTTTTCGATGATCCTAGTTATGAGTCGAAGATTGCGTGGGTTAATCATATCTCTCGAGTTATTCCCAAATTCAACTTAGTTGTGTTTGACTCTCCCACTGAGGATATGAAGGCTCACCTTAAGCCTTTATTACTAACTCTGATGATCGAAGGACATGAAATGAATAAAGTATTGGTTGACGGAGGTGCAGCTATAAATATACTCCCAATGACCATGTTAAAGAGGTTTGGAAAGACATTGGATGATCTAAAACCCCATAATATTCTCATATCAGACTATGCGGGCAAGTCGTCACAACCCGAAGGAATGATCCTGCTCGACCTACAAATAGGGAGTGTGAAAAGGACGACTATGTTTATTGTAACTCCTTCGAAAGCGAATTTCAATGTTTTATTGGGACAAGAATGGATACATGGGATTGGGGCTGTTCCTTCGACTGTTCACCAAAAAATATTTTTTTGGAATGATGATGAAGGTTTGGAGGTACCCGATGCTGACCAGAAAGATTACAAAGTGGGTATGTACTTCGCAGATCAACAGTTGACTATATTTGCGAAAACTAGACCTTTTGATGCTCATAATGCCAATTTGCTAAATGAAGAAGAAGGCATCAAGAAAATATATTGTTGGGATG